TAGCTATGTGGCTCAGCATTTAATTATATTTTAGATCTTAATTTTCTCCATATTAAAAAAATACAAGTCTACTGACTTATGAAACATAAGTTTGCTTTTAATAAAACACCTTGTTAACATAATAAATTTATAATTTTTTTATTTAAAATCTTTAAACATAATTGAAGAGCAAAACTTTGGAGGAATACTCTTAAAATTGTAAGTAATTAAAAATATATAAAAACTACATTGGGAAAAATGTCACATATAATACCTTAACAAACATAAACACCATTAGAGATATAAACACATTTCATGGGAAAAGTATACTGACCTAATAAAATAGGTATACAGTAAAGAAATGAGTAAGTACCATTTTATGAGATGCATATTATCCAAGTGAATTAATCTACTGCCAAACAGGGTGAACAATTAGAATGAGCAAACGGAGTCAGGACTAATATAATTTAAAATTTCAAAGTACATTTGAAAATATATTTCAACGTTTATTTAAACATAAATATGTAAAACATGAAAATACTGAACTAAAGTCTAGTCTTGAACTTGGAGTCAAATAATTTGTTAATGTGAGAAAATGCAGGCAAATCCCAATTTATAAAGTTATCTACAGAGGCAGATTATGGGGACTGCTTTGATAATTAAAAAGTGTTATGTTGGAAGCAACATTTGGATATTTTTTTGCCTCATTGTCAGTGCTAATTTATTACTTGGTAAATTAAATATCACAAATAATGGGAAAATAACATTGCCCATCATATCACATTATACATTTGCAATAATAAAAATAAGTCTTTCCGTAGATTTAAAAAAACAGAATAATTTATATTACAAGTTTTTAAAAATATGGCAAACCAACCTGATATCATGACTTTTTTTTGTCTTGATTATACTGAGTCTTTAAGAATCTGTTCAATAAATTAAATCAGAAATCTTTGATCCACCAACGTCTTGGATGCCAAATTCTTTTGTCCTACTGTATTACGAATAAATCTAAAAATCTGGAAAATTAAAGTAATTCAGAATGAAAATGAATATATATATGTTAAATATGTACACAATTAAAATATCTAAATGAGCTAATTCTCTCAACTATTTATTTTCATATATTAGATATCTGAACTTCATGGTGATACACAAAATCATTTCAAGACTACTATCATTTTATATAATATCAAAACAGTGTATGTTTCTATTTAGAATATATTTTTATGACTAATAACACAAACCTTTCAGGTTCACAGGGGTACGTGTTTAAATATTAAGAAAGGCAACTTTCATTTAATGCTAGAAGATATGGAAACATCAAAAGAATCTACTTGTTAGGGATAGAATTTGTTCATAATTCTAGATCTCTATCAGGGACTAATAAATTACATTTACTGACACATATATAATTCCTTGACATAGTGAAGAATATTTAGGTGCTATTAATAACACCATTTCAAGAACATCAAATGTGCCATTTCTTGAGATCTCCATTTCAGTCTCCACGCTCATCCACGTAGCTGTTTTTTATCCATCTAGGCAGGGGAGGTGTGAGCATGATAAGTTCCCTACTGAGCCCTGAGCTGGCCCTCCAGTGCTTGCTTTTTTGTTACAATAACAACTGGTGATGAACGTGAACAGGACTCTAATTACTGTTCACTTTTAGCATCTAGAAGACTTGCAGTTAAGTGTCTCTCTACAAGATTTCTCTCATGTTTTCTCAAGCAACTTATGCCTTCCACTAGACCCCAGTATTTCATTGACCTAAAGACAGAGTATAGAATGTGGTTGGTTAAAATATAATATTCAACCTTTACAAATTCCTAGTCAAAGTAGAAGTTGTTACTCTCTGCTATGAAAATAAATATCTACTTCTGATGTATTTCTTTTAAAAGAAACCTAGAAAAATTAAAAAACAATTTACCTCTTGCTGTAGGTACGTAAGAAAGGCTGCTAACACAAAATTCTGGCAAGCCAAATCCACAACACTGAAGAATAGCAGGTCAAAAATAAGAAGTGTGGCTTCATTTCCATAATACAGAACATCGCTAAAAGAATAACTTTCATCTATTAAAAAAATTATGAAATATAAATTAGAAACATAAAAATAGAACAAATCTGTGATAAACGCTGGTGATAAAATTTGTATATTTAAAAATAGCATATGAGAAACTAGTACTCCCCATAATACTTATAGCTTACACAAAAATAAAAAGTATTAAAATTTCCTAATCTAAAAGAGGTTAGTCAAGGAGCTCCTCACATCTCACAAAAAACAGTTTTCCATTGGGATCAAGGGTTGGTAATCGCTAGTAGTGTAAGTTTATATTTATAGTTCATGTCTTTCAAAGAACTGTTAATCAATATCCTTTCTCTCTTTATATGACTAAAGGCTAAATTAATCTCAGAAACACTTTCTAAGATAGGGCAACTTAAATAAAAATTCTTCCAAGTTACAAAGCAGATCTGCTTAGCTCTCTTCAATGATATCTATGTTAATTAGCAGTGGTTTCCAAAGTGTTTTGATCATGTATCCCTATTGGAATAAAATGTTGAGCATGCAACCCATAGTAGACACATTTTATTAATTGCTCCTCTATTTAAATTTTTTTCTTTTTTGAGACAGAGTCTCAACTTTGTCACCTTTGGTAGAGTGCCGTGGCATCACAGTTCACAGAAACCTCAAAAGCGATTCTCTTGCCTCAGCCTCCCAAGTAGCTGTGACCATAGGCACCTGCCACAATCCCTGGCTTATTTTTTTAGGCAATCCACCTGCTTCGGCCTCCCAGAGTGCTAGGATTACAGGGGTGAGCCACTGGGCCCAGCCTCTACTATATATAAATTTTTAAAAATAAAGTTTAACAATGATGAACTAGCAAATATAACAAATAGGAATTTTATTATTTTCTTCTCATGCCTCCATGAATCAACTTGCATACATCTTGTGGGGGAGAAAACATTTTTAAAAATTATTTTTTGGAAGCAACTGGTCTATAGAATAGTGAAATTCCTTAGGGCATAAGACAAGGCCCTCGAATTTTGTCTCTGCCCTCTTTATCTTTTCAAGCACTCTCTCTCATTGTGTCCCACTTCATACTAGGCTTCAATTATGAAGTTCATAAATGCACAGTGCACTTTGTGTACTGTTTTGAGTCTACTCATCCATCCCCTTCTACATGGATGTCTTTGCCTCTCTCTTCCCTAACCCTCCTGTTAGAGAAGTAGCTACTTTTTTTAAGACCCAGTTCAAGCTTCTCCACATTGCCGCTTCTGGCTTCATCTTGTGTCTGAATGGATTTTCTGTACTCCCTTCTGTCCTCAGCATAACCTGGAACCCTGGCTTCTAACCCAGCACCACTCTCCTTATTCAGTCACATGTTTATCTTCCACAGTCTACTAAATAAGATGCCTGAGTCAGGGGTCACTGGTCTGTGTAATCCAGGACTGGCACAACATCTGGCACGCAAATAAATAAATCCCATCGAGGCCAGGAAAGTGGTTTATACCATTTCTATTCTTACCAACTCACACAACAGGTTATCAGTCATAGTACCAGTAATATAAATACTATCTTTTTATTAATGAGAAACCACTCTTCTTGTTACAAATACAGATGTGTAATTTTTAAGAATGTGAATAAAATAGTTAGATGTTAAAAATTAACTACAATGTTATTATTCTTACTTTTTTTTTTTTGACCAGGGCTGGGTTTGAACCCGCCACCTTCAGCATATGGGACTGGCGTGCCACCCTGCAATGTTATTCTTCTTTAAGTGTTTCATAAGTTTGCCACTAAGTGAACATGCCAATAAAGTCTGAATTGTTGTATTTCTTTTACTTTTCTTCTACATATACTGTTGATTCTAAAATTTGGCTTTGTTACTTTCTTGCAGAATCTTTTTATTTATTTATTTTTTTGCAGTGTTTGGCTGGGGCTGGGTTTGAACCCACCACCTCCGGTATATGGGGCTAGCGCCCTACTGCTTTGAGCCACAGATGCCGCCCCAGAATCTTTTTTATATGTCATATGCTACATGACATAATAAAATGGAACAAAGAAAACTATAATTGCATGGGATTAACCACATCTATTATCTTTCGTTTGTTTTTATATACAATTATTAAATCAAAGAAAAAATTACCAACACTATTAGTTTTTTGCCAAACTGGGAAACTATAATCAAGTTTTGTAAAGGCATTTGAAATATACCATTGTAAAAGATGCTTTTTTCCATTGGTTCCATGAATTCCATTCCGAGAATTTTTTCAAGAAGCAACTTATCTTTTATAAAGTAATCCAGTTCCTTATGAACCTAATGTAAAAAGACAAAATCATTTCACAAAAACAGCAGTGGAACAAATGCTGTCCAGTTAATGTAAAATGGGCAGGAAGGAAAATGAAAAATGGATAGTAGATAAAGATAATTTGGCTACAAGTTAAAAACAACAACAAAGAAAATCTGTTCTGCAAAAAGACTGAATTTACTACACTGGGATTTATTACAAAATTCTCTTTAGGAATTTTAAATTTTAAATGCCCTTAGTCGTATTTTGGGCTATAAATACTGAAAATTACTTTTAACAAGCTTGTCAGGGGACAATCATAGCATAACCTAAGGATTTCAGCAATGAATAACACAGTACTATTTTGGTAACTGGCTAACAAAATTCCAGAGCAGACATCATGTAAGGGAACCATTATGTTAACACACATGTAAAATCTCACTTTACTTTTACATAACCTAACTCTATCCCTAAGTCATAGTTTATTAATGGCAAAAAAAAACCTTTTAAAACATTTCATTCCTAAGTATTAAATTTGACAGGCAAAAAAAGGGGAGGAGGTCAAAGTCTACTGACTTGGTTAACTTAAATAAATAATTGACATTTCTACTTAACTTTTTCAAAATTGCATTTGATTTTAGTTTAAACATAAATGTTGACATACATACATGATCAATGAAAGAGCCAAGAAATTTATTCATGGTATTATATGCTTTTATACTGTGCTCAAAAGTACTTGCTGATGAAGTCAATAGTCTAGCAGGGCCATTTTTCTAATGTAAAAAGGAAAAAAAAAATGCAACATGTCTTATAATCTTGGTATTTAAAGAACATTAAATATTGGCAAAATATATAAAAACTGTACTTTATACAAACCCTCATTAGTGTTTCATGAATTCTGTCATATTGTTGTCTCATCTGGCTAGAAATTGCAATCTGAAAAGTCTGGCCATCTGTGTTGGGTACCAAACCTCTCTGGCTACACAAATTTTCCTGAAAAATTAAACAACAAAAAAAAATTAAAATCATAAAAATTTCCTATCTCAAAAAGAAAATACGGCATTTTTCTTTTAGTTAGTATCACACATTACAAGATTCAGAAGCTAAGTAAAATTTAATGAAATTATATTTTGAAACAAAGAAATTCTAACATCATCCAATGTTCTCATTTCCCTTCCAGATTTTACTAATTTCTTATTCTTATTCACACACCTCTGCAGGTCTTTATATATAATATATATAGTTTTTTTTCATTATATACTAATTTTCTTAGCTTTGTTTATATCAATTTTATTAATCTCTAATATATATCAAAAGGTCCTGTCTTAGAATTAACTAGTTTTATAATTATAATCTTTTTTGTTTTCTAAACATTTTAAAACATTTTAATTAATTCTAATAAAAAAGTAGTGAAACATGACTGAGCAGTTAATGTTATGGATCAGATATCCACTTCAGGTCTCCTTGACAAGACTTGAATTCTGACAACTACAAAAATGTAAAATTTTTGGATTTGATTGATACTTCAAGGTTCAGTTCAGGTTGTCTGTGCCTTTATGAAGCCTGTTCATATACTCACAGCTTCTTAATATTCACCTTCTTTGTCTATACCTAACCTGCAAACCCAATATGACACTCACCTTTCTACAGATTTAAAGAAAGAATACACATAGTGAATTTCTCTATTTAAAAAATTACTTTTTTGGCTTCGCACCCGTAGCACAGTGGTTACGGTACCAGCCATGTAGACCAAGCCTGGTGGGTTCGAACTTGGCCTAGGCCAGCTAAACAACAATGACAACTATAACATCAAAAAAAAAAAAAAAAAAAACCCAGGCGTTGTGGCAGGCGCCTATAGTCCCAGCTACTGGGAGGCTGAGGCAAGAGAATTGCTTAAGCCCAGGAGTTTGACGTTGCTGTGAGCTGTGACGCCATGGCACTCTAACCAAGGGTGACATAGACTCTATCTCAAAAAAATAAAAAATTTACTGGGCGGTGCCTGTGGCTCAAGGAGTAGGGCGCCAGCCCGGCCCCATATACTGTAGGTAGTGGGTTCAACCCAGCTCTGGCCAAAGAAAAGAAAATTACTTTTTGCCAGGCATGGTGGCTCATGCCTATAAACCTAGCACTCTGGGAGGCTGAAGTGGGAGGATTGCTTGAGCTCAGGAGTTCAAGACCAGCCTGAGCAAGAGCAAGACCCCATCACTACTAAAAAAATAGAAAAATTAGTCAGGCATTCTGGTGGGGACCTGCAGTCTTAGCTACTGGAGAGGCTAAGACATGAGGATCACTCCAACCCAGGAATTTAAAGCTGCCATGAGCTAGGCTGATGCCACAGCACTCTAACCTAGGCAAAAGACTGAGGTTCTATCTCAAAAATATATACATACATACATAAAAATTGGCCCAGCGCAGTGGCTCATGCCTGTAAACGTAGCACTTTAGAAGGCTAAGGCAGGCAATTCCTTAACATCAAGAGTTCAAGAGCAGCCTGAGTAAGAGCAAGACCCTATCTCTACTAAAAATAGAAAAACTAGCTGGGCATTGGGTCAGATGCCTGTAGTCCCAGCTATTTGGGAGGCCGAAGCAAGAGGATCTCTTTCTTGGGCCCAAGAGTTTGAAGATGCTGTGAGCTATGACGCCACGCCACTCTACCAAGGGCAAAAGAATGAGGCTCTGTCTCAAAAATAAATAATTACTTTTTTCTTGATTAGAAAAGTACATGCAGCTGGGTGTGGAGGCTTGTGCCTGTAATCCCAGAACTTTGGGAGGCTGAGGCAGGAGGACGGCTTTCAGTCAGAAGTTTAAGATCAGCCTAAGCAAGAGCAAGACTTGTCTCTACAAAAAATAGAAAAAATTAGCTGGGTGTGCTGGTGTGCTCCCATAGTCCCAGCTACTTGTGAGGCTGAGGGTAGAGGATCACTTGAGCCCAGGAGTCTGAAGTTGTTGTGAGCTATGATGACACCAGTGTACTCTAGCCAGGAGAACAGAGATTCTGTCTCAAAAAATAAAAAAATTTAAAAATTTTAAAAAGTACATGCCATTTCAGGCTTGGCAACCTTACCTCAGTGAGTAGGGCACCAGCACATACATGGAGGCTGGTGGGTTTGAGCCTGGCCTGGGGCCTGCTAAACAACAATGACAACTGCAACCAAAAAATAGCTGGGTGTTGTGGCAGGCGCCTACAGTCCCAGCTATTTGGGAGGCTGAGGCAAGAGAATCTTTAAGTCCAATCTCTTTGAAGTTGCTGTGAGCTGTGACACCACAGCATTCTACTGAGGGCAACATAGTGAGACTCTGCTCACCCCACCAAAAAAAAGTATAAAAAGAACAGGATATTGGGTGGTGCCTGTAGCTCAAGTTGCTAAGGTGCCAGCCACATACACCAGAGCTGGTGGGTTCAAATCCGGCCCAGGCCTGCCAAACATTGACAAATATAACCAAAAAATAGCCAGGCATTGTGCCTATAGTCCCAGCTACTCGGGAAGCTGAGGCAAGAGAATCGCTTAAGCCCAGGAGTTTGAGGTTGCTATGAGATGTGATGCCATGGCACCCTACCCAGGGAGATAGCTTGAGGCTCTATCTCAAAAAAAAAAAAAAAAAGAAAAAGAATAGGATGTTATGAAAAAAAAAGTACATGTCATTGCAGAGAATTTATAAAACATAGTGAAGTATAGCAAAGAAAAAATTTATCTATAATCTCAACACCCAGAGATGCAGATATTTTCAGGAATTTCATTTCCAGTCCTTTTTCTAGGGCATATGTTAATTAATACGTATGACTAGCATAAAATTGGGAACACACTGATTTCTTTTCATTTAACATTATATTCTGGACAATTTCTTGTGCTATTAAATAGTTTATTTTTTAGTTTTATTTATTCTTTTTGAGACAGCGTATCCCTCTGGTGCCCTGGGTACAGTGCTATGGTCATAAAATCCAACCTCAAATGCCTAGATTCAAGTGATCCTCTTGCATCAGCCTCCCAAGTAGCTGGGACTACAGGTGCCTGACACAAAGCCCAACTAGTTTTTCCATTTTAAGTAGAGATGGGGTCTCACTATTGATCAGGCTGGTCTCGAACTCCTGAGCTCAGGTGATCCACCCACCTCAGCTTCCCAGAGTGCTAAGATTATAGGCGTGAGCCACGTGACCAGCCTCATTGGTTTATAAAACATGATTTTATATATACTTAAGATTTCACTGGAAAATGTAAACCAATTTATTTAATATTCTCCAATTTTTACATATTTTCCCTTATAGAAAACATCTGTGGGCTCAGCACCTGTAGCTCAGCTGCTAGGGAGCCAGCCACATGCACTGAAGCTTGTAGCTTCGAACCCAGCCTGGGCCTGCCAAACAACATAGACAATTATAACCAAAAAATAGTTGGGTGTTGTGGTAAGCACAGCTACTCACAAGGCTGAGGCAAGAGAATCTCTTAAGCCCAAGAGTTGGAGGTTGCTGTGAGCTGTGACACCACCACACTCTACTGAGGTTGACAGAGTGAGATTCTGTCTCAAAACAAAAACAAACAAACAAAAAACCTGTGATGAAGATCCTGAATTTAATTAGCTGTTTATATTGCTAATTTTTCCTTATGTGAAATTCATAAAATCAATGAATCAAAGATTATCAACTCTTAGAAATCTATTGTGGCCAGATGCAGTAGCTCACTCATGTAATCCCAGTATTTTGGCAGGCTGGCTAGGGGCAAGTACTGCTTGAGCCCTGGAGTTCAAGACCAGCCTGGCAACACAGTGACATCCTGTCTCTACAAAAAAATTTTAAATGAGCAGGACATGGCGTATGTGTGTCTATAATCCCAGCTACTTGGAAGGCTGAGAAGAGAGGATCACTTGAGCCCTCCAGGAGTTTAAGGTTACAGTGAGTTGACACTGTGCCACTTCACTTAGCTTGGGTGACAGAGCAAGACCCTGTCTCAAAATAAAAACAAAAAATGTTGGTATATATTGCCCAAATGCTTTCCAGAGATTTGGAAAAATTTACCCTGCTACCAGTAGTTTAGTGGTTGCCCATTTCACTACGTCCTTGATGCTATTAAGTATTAGTTTTTCTCTTAAAAATTGGCTAATTTGAAGAAGTACATATATTATTTTTATATGATTATGATTTAAAATATTTTTAGATGTTTACTATCTATTCTGCTTCATTATTTATTTTTAAAAATCTATTGGTCATTTTTCCACCGAGCTTTTAACTTAGTATTTTCTTATTGGCTTGACTTGAATATTGTCATAATATCTCTTTCATATTTGTTACGAACATTCTCCTGTAATTTGCTCTTTTAATCATGATTGTTTGATATATAAATGTACTACATAAAAGTAAAATCAATTAATATTCCCTTTTTGATGCTTTCTATTCCTTATGTTTAGAATTTCATCCCCTAACATAAAGTACACTTTTTTAGGTTCTCTTATGGTTTCATTTTTTAATTTTTTCATCACAGGGTAATTAGATATTTCTAATAGTTAACCAAGTGATATAGTTAAAATATTAAATTAATTCTTCTCGGAGATGCCATTATCATGTATCCAATTTTTCCAAGTCATCAATATGGCCCCTTAACCACTAAATCCTCTTAGTTTTTCCTCTAAGGGTATCTTGTTCTTTTTAAAATTTCATTATGAAAGTTTTCAAATATAAACAGTAGAGAATAGTAAGCCACTCACCTAGCTTCAATAATTACTAACATTTTACCAATTTTGTTTGATTTATTTCCCAACATTTTTTCCTTAAAGTATTTTAAAAGAAACCCCAGGCTATGTCATTTCCTCTGTAATACTTTTCTACACTTATCTCTAGTAAGGACTTTAAAAAAATAACTACCATGCTACTTTTATACCTAACAAAATTAATCATTCCTCAATATAATTTAACATTTAGTTCATTAAGCCTCCCAGATTTTTCTCCCCCAATTTTTTCTTATAGCTGGTTTGTCTGAATCAGGATCTAAATTATTTGGTTTGCTTCTTAAACCACCAACAATGTAACAGTTCTTCCACCACCACCAACATCCCTTCTTGTCTTTTTATACCACAGATTTGTTTGGAGACACTGAGTCATTTGTCCCGCGAGGGATCCTATACTCTGGATCTGGCTATTTACTTCCTGTAGTGCTATTAATTTGCTCCTTTATCCTGTGTATTGCCTATAAACTGGTGGTTAGGTTGAAAGGCTTGATTATATTCAGGTTCAATTTTCTTAGACAAAAGTATTTCATGCCTGACGTTATATACCTCCCACTGTACCGTATCATAAAGTGCATAATGTCAGTTTTCCTTTGACTCAGAAAGATTGAGCCAATGTGTCCAGATTTCGTCAACTTGATCCCTTGTTATTAAGTCCCAGTCAACATTCACTTAATTATTCCATTCGTCATAACAAATGGTGATTTTCTAACTTAGAATTCCTTCTACTTTCTTTTATAAGGAAGAACTTTCCCTCATGAATTATAACTCTGAAAGACTGTTCATATTGAAACTGCAAAATTAGATTCCCTTTACTAATGTTCAGAGAACTAAGCTGATAACAACTTGCAAAAGTGATCAGTGAGGATTTAATATTGCTAAAGATTCTAGATTAAGAAAAGAGAATTCATCTCTCAAAACAAAAAGGTGTAAAATACATTCATACCGCTTCTCTTTTAAGATTCATATTCATTTCTTCCATATTAGTATCTGCATGACCATGTACTGATCTACCATGAATGTAATATCCAAAACATTTATGGGATAACAGAAACACTGATATCTATAAAAAAAGAAGAAAAAGTAATTAGCAACTCATCTGTGAAACAGTTTAAAAAATTAAATTTTTCTTAAAATTATTGCCTTTCTCCCAAAATAATGAAGATTGACTTTTTGGAAAATATATGAAGAGGATAATGAAGTGATAAAGAATAATAAAATTATTTTTAAAAAGTACATGGAAAGAAGATTGAAGATATTTTCTAAGAAAAGAAGAAATAGGGTTGATACATAAAAAGTTTGCAGGGCCCAGTGCTGAATGAACTTTTTGGCAGAGTAAGAAATTCATAACTGGCTCAGCACCTATAGCTCAACCGGCTAAGGCGCCAGCCACGTACACCTAAGGTGGCGGGTTCGAATCCCCAGCCCGGACCCGCCAAACAACA